AATTGAAAAGGTGGTCTTTCTTCTTTCTCTATCCCAAGTGTATATCATGAGCCATCTTGCATGTTGACATGAATGTGTGTGTGTGCACATACAAACTAATACACAAGACCACTGGGTAACACTGTCCCCTGCTGAAGCTGGTGACCTGGGATGGTCTCACTCCCCTGTGCAAAAAAAAAATCTTTTGTGTTCAGATTCCATATGTTCCAGAGTGATCACTTCCCCTTCCAAATTGCCATCAGAAAGAACACAAGATTCAGAGAGATACAATGTCATGCAAAACCAGCACACTGCCCTCTTCTCTCTAAGAAGTCTGTCCTTGTCCTGAGCATCCTGAGCCCACCCCAGGCAGACATTTTCTGGTGGACAGATAGGTTCAAGTGGAGGGGTAGCTCCTGACAGGCATCTCAGCTCTGCTAACCAAACTTCATGTCACACTGGAAGATGCTCTGTTCAAATAAAGAGTCCAGCCACTCTGCAGTCACACAGAAGTCCACTTAGTGCCAGTGAAGCACATCTTCTAGAAGACCATAAACACGGGCCCTGTCCTGGAGGGACCGGGAGCATGCACAGGTTGCACTTTCCTCCTTCTGGGGATGGGAAGTACTTGTACTCTCTGTGTCTTTTTGTTGTCATTCTGTTGCTTTGACTTGGGGGCTCTGATGACCCTGAAAAGCATGCCCTCCTGGAGATACCTGACTCCTAGAGATAGTCAACCCTGTCTCCCCAGCATGTTCATCATACCTAAACTAACCAGTCCAGGCCCTACACCTCACCTCCAGTCCTCCTCCTATTGGGCACCCGCCTCCCAGGCCACTATTACCCACCCTAATCACACCAAGGAAGGGTACCAGACAACCTGACATGGCCCTTACCACCTAGAGCCCACAGAGATTATTCAAACAGACCAATTCTACACAAACTTACCCGCCTCACCTTTTCTTCCTGCGAAAATCACAATAAACTTTTTTTTCCCCACATTCTCCCCCACCCTCCACTGCTTTTGCCTCCTGACCAACCCCAGTGCTTCTCCCGCATGGCCCCGCACAACTGTCTATTGAAAATCATAGCGGTGTGTGACAGTCAAATCTCTGTGCCTGCAAATCTTCCCTGGCCTGATTTAGACAAACCTAGTGTATCTTACAACAATGCCAAAGCCCCCAAAGCTTTTCAAAAGAGCCGGAGCAATTGACATTCAGAGTCGCCCATGCCCACTTGGGCCTGGATCATGATGTCATGCCCTCCCCATCTTAACACTAGGGAACAGGAAAGGCCACAAAGTGGTGGGAAGGAAGCCGCACTTTGGAAGCACCAACTGTGTACAAACACTGTTCCTATTGCACACACCATCTCCTCTGTCATGGCTGCAAACTTGAACCACAGAAGAGGCTCCGGAGAAGACAAAAACCTACCATAGGCAGGAGGAGAGCTGATTTGAACCCAATTTAAATAACTAGCTCTCTTTCCACCTCCTTGACTACCTTCAAAGCATCAAAAAAGGTCTTTTTTCTTTCCTGGGACCCCCAGTGACCATGCAAAAAAGGAGACCTACAAAGTTGTCACCATTGCTCTCAACCCAGGGACCTAGTGCTCCTGTGGTCCAGTTCTCCACAGTTCCTCTCCAGTGCCACCTAGTTATTGGGTCATCCATGGTCAATGGCCAGTAACAGATTCTCCGGAGACATTAGCATTTTAGCAGTGCTCCAAGAGCAGAGAGGCGGCCTGAAGGTGAGGAGACTTCCATCTGTTCCCTCCAAGCCCTGCTGTAGCACGACACACATTGAAGTGTTTTTAAAACTATGCAGCAAAACCACCAAGGAGGCAGAAGGTAAATTGTTCCCACTCCCAGCTGCTCCTTGGGGAGGACTTTATAGTGCAGCCCTGGCACTGAGCTTGAAAGCCTGGGAACCGCCAGCATCACTCATGCCTAAAGCCAGCCTTCCTGCTAGAAGCCAAGAGACTTGTTAAGGTTTTCAACTGCAGCTAAGAAGAAAAGTTCTTTTCAGAGCGCACTTTGAAAGAACCACCTCCTGATGTTTCTACATTTGCATAGGTCCCCTGGGGGCAAGGAGAGACAGAAGTTACCGGCTCTGTGAGAAGGCACTTGACTAAATTTGCCCCCAGATGTGACACTGAGAAGAAACAATATCGTCTATGCTGTGTTCCAGCACAATTACAAAGATACCTCAGAGAAGTACAAAATAAAGAACATTCTATTTTTTTTAAACGGGGAGGAGCATAAGTACTGTATGTTGTAGAAAAGCCAATGCCAAAGACAAGGAAATGCTAGAGAGTTTCCAGATTGGGGGTCCAAAGAGACAGGACCATGAAAAGCAGTATATGCCCCTAGACTGGATTCTGCACTATAGGGACAGAAGGGAGAAGGCTTACTATAAAGGACATTATTAAATCAAGTGACAAAATTGGAATATGAACAGTGGATAAGATAAAAGTGTTGTATCAATGTAAACTGATGATGTTGGTCACTGCACTGTGGTTTCATAAGAGATATCTTCATTTTTAAGAAAGACACTCTGAACGGTTAGGGGGAAAGGGCAATTTATCTAGAAATGTTCAGAAAAATAATTATGCAGAGATCAAGTCTTGCTGTCGCATGCCCATAATCCCAGGGGCTTGGGAGGTTGAGATAGGAGGATTGTAAGTTCAAAGCCAGCCTCAGCAATGGTAAGGCATTTAGCAACTCAGTGAGACCCTGTCTCCAAATAAAATACAAAATTGTGATGGGGGTGTGGCTCAGTGGTTGAGTGCCCTTAAATTCAATCCCTAGTTTTTTTGTTTTTTATTTTTTGTTTAAAAGAAGAGATCAACTCTTAATAAAGAGTTTCTTGTACTATCTGCATTTTAGTAACTCTTGTAAAGTTAAAGCTAATTCCAAATTTTAAGTTTGTATTTAAATCTGATCTTTTGAGTTACTGTGGGCAGAGGCAGAGAGTGTTCTTCCACTGGAGCATCAGATGACTACAAGGTATGGTCAGGCAGGGATGGAGACAAGCTTGGGACCAAGAGAAGACCATTGGGAATTTCTCAAGTGCCCACTAAGTTCCAGAGGCCTGGCACAGGGCAGATCAAAACTGGTGGCCTCGGAGGAGCTTGTAAAATGGAAAAGGAGGAAGGAGAGGACAAACCAAAAATCCCATCAGTAAATAGACCATCCCAGACTTTTAAAAACAATAAGGGAGAAGTTTCAAAAAGAAAAAAGTAAAAGTGGGAGATTCATGCTGAAGAAATAAAATTAATAACCTAGATTAGAGAGTGTTTCAGGACCACTTAAGCCAGAGCTGAAGGAGGCATGGAGAACTGGGTGTTTCATTTGATGGGCCTGAAAATTTATTGATGCACTAGCTGGGGGTTGGGGGGGGTAGAAAGCAAGGGAGAGGCAAGGACAACTCTAGAGTTAGGGCTTGAACAACTGTATGAATGGTGCCACTCACTCAGCTGAGACCACTGCAGGGATCCCAGCCACCAAGAGCACAGTCCACACAGCTGTTCCTTGCACTTGTTCCTCAGGCTCATCCATGTTCATTTCCCCCTCTGGTTCCTATCCATATATCTGGCTCTGGCTGGCCTCTCCCTGATCCAGGGGTTTCCCACTGCCCTTGCCCATCTTGGGCTGTGGTGGGATTGCTCTTGAGAAATAGGTAGCCTGTCAAGAAGCAGCCTTCTGTAACTTTCCTGCTACAATCCCATAGCCCGTGCTGCAACCTTCAGCCATGCCTAGCCGTGACCTCCAATTGGTGGGGTCTCCTGGGACTCTACCACAGATCCCTGGGGCCACTAGCTTCAAGGGGAAGAGGCCCTAGAGTCAGAAGGCCTGGTTTGGAGTTCTGTCTCTGCCCTTCATGGGCATTTCCCTGTCACAACCTCCCTGTGCCACTACTTTCCCACCTGTGAACTGTGACACATCTGTCCTCCCTCCTACTGGAGTGGGGAGGATTACATGAGGTTGTTCTCATGGCTGCCCTGTGATTATTACTATTATTGTCACATTCTCCAAAGAGATGACTACTTGGGATGTGAAGATGTTGCTGGATGTTGGTGGCCCTTTTGCCACCCAGATATGTGCCTCCTGCAGCAAGTGTGTACTAAATATTCCTGGGTGCTGAGGCTGCTCTGGGCTTTCACCCTAAATTAGCCTTAAACCCAGTTTCAGCCTGACCATGTCGTCCCTCCTGCTGTCCCCATAGCACCCACAGGCCCCTCTCATTCACACCCCCAGTTCTAGTTTTCTCAAACCAAGCAAACTATTCTTTGACTCTGGAGGCCTTCTGCAGGTTCCTTGTCAATCGAAGGTGGTTTTCCTTTTAGTCCTTGCCATGGTTGAATTGCGCAGAAACACAAAAAGAACGAGGGATGCAATCAGATTAGAGACTTCCCGTGAGAAGAAAATAGCCTGTCGCCACTTTTATGAGCTCTCCTCCACCCGACTGGTATTAGGGCCTGTGACCGGAACTCTGACAACCCCAGGGACGGGGGACGGTAGTGGAGCGGTGGGGCGGAGAGGGCGGGGGGGGGGGGGGGGGGCGGGGGGATCAGCCTGTCGTGAAGGGGAAAGGGACTTGTAAAATCCTAAAGGGCTTTCCTGCTACAATCCCACAGTCAGTGCTCCCTGTAGTCAAAGCCCCTGGCTGCATATCATTTCCTGGACATCTTAGTGAAATAGGCCTCAGCGTACAGTGGCACGTTGTTATTACACTTCGGGGACTCTGGTGCGACCCAGGGAAGCAGGAAGGCTGGCGCTGGAGCGTCCCTCGGAGCCGGCAGGAAAGTGCAACAGCGCCATCTAGTGGTTGTGCGGGGCGACTACGGAGATACCGGCGCCGCTGCCCAGGATCTTCCAACCTAAGGAAAACGTGGTATCATTCCAATCCTTGTCGGAGCGCAGTGACACGGCCTTCGGAGTGTCTTAAACAGCAAATTGACTATCGCTGTAACCTCCGTAAGAGAAGTAAATGTCAAAACGTTTACAAGATCTTGATCTGTTAGGTTTGGGTGTTGTTGAGGGTCCCGAAGGAGACATTGCAAGGGGATTCCCTGCACTTGTAGGCGCCTGAGAATCGAGATCGCTGCCGCTCAACTTCATCTACTTGGGCTGGAGCCTGCCTGCCTGGGTGCGGGTCAGTGAGGCCGTCACTAAAAAGCTTTTTGCAAAGAGGGGGAAAGATTGTGTTCCTGTGAGAGAGAATCAAACAGGTACTCAGCCCCAAGCGTGCACCTGGAGGGACTGTGAAAATAATGATTCCTGGAACACCCTCCAGTCTCTGATACTGTAGTTCTGGGATAGTATCTAAGAATCTGCATTTCTATCAAGTTCTCTGGTGAAACTGATATTGGTCTAAAACCCATGCTCAACCCTAATTGTGATGTAGGCTGGGCTGTTTCTTCCTAAACGTTTTGAAAAGTTCTCATGATCTGCCCTAAACCTGCTTGAGCTACACAGGCAGAGTTCCAGGACTTCCATCTGCAGCTCTTTTAGGAAAAGTCAATGAGAAAGTGTAAGATAGACTTAAACAACAGGACAGACTTTCCCACCTCCACTCTTTAGCAGGTAATGTCCACCAGGAGATAAAGTTGGATCCAGCTCCTGGCCAGCAAAAGCCTTTGGTCCCAACTGCAGTGTCCAAATGGTCGATGAGGCCAAGATGCTTATTGCCCACATTCCTAGAAGGCAGGCTTTAGGTCATCTGAACAACATAGATGTAGATTTTCACTTTACAGGAAAAAAAATTGCATTGGAGGCATTTCATGCTAGAGATTGACCAATCCAAATAGGAAGCCTCTGAGCAGTTCAACCAGCACAATTTCATAGAGGCTTCTTTCCTCAGCCTGCAGCCTCCAGCCAATAGGGCTCTGGCTGACACTTATGCCAATAAGACCTTTATGCATTCGGCCAATCAGAAGTGAGAACTGTTCTGAGCTCCCCTCTCATCATATTCAGCCTAATCCAACCCCAAATGCATTTGGCCAATTGGAATTGATCATTGCTCTAAGACACACCACCACCATCACTGGAATCTTCAACATACCTATTCTATTCATGCTCAAGAAATGGGCCGCAGTTGATGTGGTTCCTAATATGCTTTGTAAGATCAAGGGGGGAAATGATTTGCCTGTAACTCAGAACTAACTGTTGGTTACAAATGTTTGCCTATGATAAAAACTTCATATGTGCATATATATGTGTGCACCCACACACACACACATACACACCCCACAAGGGGAGGGGGAGAAAGCAAACACCCTTAGAGTCGCTTTATCCATTAGACACAATAGACATGGAAATATTTTACTTTAAAATCTTAAGAAAATATGAATAAATACAATCTGTCCTCAATTATATTCACTTTATTCCAGCCCAATAGCAAAATGTAACTTTCTTGAAGTAGAAGGGGGCCCATGAAGGAAAGGCCATGAAGTCTCTAAGACCCCAAAAGGCATGCTTCAACAAATTGGCCAAATTAGATCACTCTCAAGATCTTCCTCTACAGATTTGATCTTCTATTGTTCCTTGTTAGGTTCTCTTGTCCCCCCATTTTCTTAAAAAAATAAAGGGAGGTGAGAAAAAAATAATAGGTCAGTCTGTACTCTTGATTTCAAGTGATAGAAAAACAGCTCAAACTAACACAAGTAAAGGGGAGATTGTTTGTTCCAAATAAAAACCCCAGGGGTAGTTCTGGTTTCAGCCACAACTGGATTCAGGGATCCATCCTTCAGTTCCCATTCCATTTTATGGCCCTCCCCAGCAGCCACAAGATGGCAGGAATATTTCCACCCTCAGTTCCTACCAGTCTGCTTTTAGGCCTCTGAAATGCATTTCCGTCTGAATCAGCTCAAGCCAACTGAGCAGGCTGAGGCCCTCCTTGTTTAGGAGGACTCGGTGCTCTGACTCCATAGGCCTGGGTCACCTGTCCCACTGACACCACAGGGGGGAGATGCAGAGGAGAAGCCAGGCAAAAATCAGAAGCTATTTCTGGGAGAGAAAACAGATGCTAGAGACAGACAAAAGCCTCTGGGCAGACTTAACCTCCAATCTGCCGTGGAACTGTTGCCCACACCTTACAACAGAGAAGCCTTCACCTATGTCAGTTCATGGACCACCCAACAATTCAGGGACCATGACATCATTATCCCTACTTCACAGATGAGGAGACCAAGGCTCAGAGGGAGTTATTCTTCTTGCTCAAGGTCACTGGCCTTAAAAATGGTAGAGCTAGAACAAGAAAAGTAATCCAGTCTCCAAATGTGGGTTTTACCACTCTCTTGACCCAGCTCATCTGCTGGTCTCCCTCAGATACAAGAAATAATAAGATTGCCATAGAACTATGGCCAGGCTGGGACAGGAAGGAGGAAAGTTCCCTAACAAAGGCTCACTGAGGCCCTGCACGGGTCTGTTCATTGCTCTGAGATTGGGGACTTCCTGCTAGCTTAGGTCTTCAGGTGTTTCACACATATTCATTTCCATATCATCTCTGCAATTTTGCCACTTGTATTATTTTACTGTTTACTTATTTTTCTTAAGTCAGCTTGCCTTTTTTACTTACAAAATATATTTAAGACATCAACTTTAAGTGGCAATTGTCAATCAAAACAAGTACCACTTACCTTGAATAAAAATCAACTTCAAAATCACAAAATCAAATACTGCTCATCTATGAGCCACTCAAAACCACACCGCCCTGAAGTAAAGTCTTCAGACACTGAGGAGTCAAAGCTACAGGGTCACACAGGAATACAAGCAACCCCTGAGCTATTCTGCCACATGTATTTTCTCAGGCATACCCACAAATCTCCCTTGAGCTCTGATAACAAGGTAAGGGAGGTCCCAGCCCCTCTAGAGTAAGTGGCCAAGATGTTCTGCCCAAAATGTATCCAGGCCCATACCCACTATCATAAGGCTGCTGGTTCTGGCCACCACATCCTTAGTCTCCTACCTCTCCTGAGGTGTGATCTCTTTCAGGAACCACAGAGGCTTCTAGCATCTTCTTGCCTGGTCATTTAGTCATCTCATAACTCCTAATTTTCCTCTTCTGTAATTATTCCTGGTTCAGGGTTCTGGGCAGAAGAGGCCAAGCTTGCAGAAAGCCCCAGGGAAGCTAGCCATACCTTCAACTTTATCCACTGACCATCTGTCCACTGTAGCTCAGATGTCTACCAGTGAAAAATCTCCATGGGAAGATAGAGTAGTCACCAACTCCAAAAGCAGGATGAGCCTTCAAGAACATGCAGAGGAAGCCCCTCACTGTAGAGAGAAGGAAGCCAGCCCTGAGGCCCATGTCTCCCCATCTTACACCACCACCTGGGACACAGATGGATTGGATCAAGGTCCCCTGACTCCTGGTACAATTTTCTCTTTTATTCAACCTAGAATATTCCCACCCGAAATTACATTGAGTTAATTAAGGCTCCTAGCTCCAAGGAGAGAAAGTGCAAACCATCTTACTCTAGAATAATCTCTGTGGAATGGCTATGAAGTCACAATGACATTTTCTCATCTGGAAGATGACCCACTTGACCTTGACCTGCTAGACCAGACTCTGATGATCCTGGAGAAACAGAAATCAGAGGCCTGGGTTACCTGGGTCAGCCCTGAACAGCCCTCTCCACCCACTCTGGTCCCAAAGGTTCCAAGACTTTCCATCCTGTGGATATGGAAGGCTTCATTCGACTACTAAAACCAGATGCTGCATATAAGCTACACTTCAACCTTCACAGAAAGCAATACAAAATGAGCACATCTTCCCTGAGGCAGGCTGTCACCCGAGCCCTTTTCTCTCACAACTGCTTCTCTCAGTCCAGCAGCCTTCAGCTCCATGGTTCCTCTCCAAGTGCTGGTGGGAGATGGCCAGGAGGGGGCGCTGTTTCCTACCTGCCTGGATTCAGCTCACCCTACACAGAGTAGTTGGGCGAGAGGCAGGATACTAAGGGGGCCGCAGGTCCAAATAATTCAAAGGCAGAGCTGTGCCAAGGAGACAGAATTAGAGGAGAAATGGATCTTGTGAGAAAGGGATTGGAAAAGAAACAAAATCCTCCCCTTACCAAAAATATTTCCTCTACCCTCATTTTTTGGTCTTATTTTGGGGGGGTAAGACCTCTACATTTTGCAGAGTGTTTTTACAGCAGCTGAAAACAAGGAAGAGCTTAAATATTCAAGTAAAGGAATGTGGTCAGGTCAAGCATGGTACAGCTATTCTGTGAGGTCTTATGCAGAATTATGAATGATGGTTTTAAAACACCCATGGTTTAAATAATTCAGGTATGATTACTACTGTGCTATTTGATGCCATATTTTTAAGCAAAAGGTCAAAAGGTATATACAATAAAGTGATGCTACTGTATTTCTCAGGCAGTGTATAGAAATATAGCAAGATATGACTGGATTTCAGGCAAGGGTCTCTATCCCCACTCAAAGCCTCACAGCTTCCAGGCACACCCAGCTGTCAGGAGAGAGGGAGAACTCAGGCTAGGAAGCCATATATGTATCCCTAGCCCACCTGGCTCAGGGCATCTCCTTGGGGGGTGCCACACCAATAAGAATACCACTGGATTTGGCAGACTCCAAGGTATCCTGAGGGGAGTCCTTTCTATCTACTTAGGCTTGCAATTGACATTCATAATGGGCCTGTGGTATCCACCAATGTTGCTGAGACTGTGAGCCCTGACTCTGACATCAGGAAGTGTACAATCCAGGGTGAATATCCACAAGTGGACCCTTTGCTTCTGTTTGTTCCTTTAGCATCATAACAGCTCAAGGTCACTAGGCTGTGCCACCAGCCACTGCCACAGTGCGCTCACTCTCTCCCCCTGCTGCTTGCCTCCCTTAGCATCATCTCCAAAGCAGTTCCTTATCAGCACTGTGTAAGGTCTTATGTTGACAAGCTGATGGCTTAACACTAGGATGAACTTAGGACCCTAGTCCCCATTACTGCCATTGCTTCTTCTTGGGGCTGCTATTCACACTGGCCAGAAAATCCTACAATAGGGACCATGTCTGCCATGCCCAAGAGTCTGTGCTAGCCCTCAACAGCACCTGGCCCAATGTGCACTGAAAGACTGCATTGAACCTCAATAACACCAAGAGCTCACTTGTCTGAAGTTGTGACACTGCTATAGTTTAGATGTGAGGTATCCCCCAGAAGCTCATGAGTGAAACAATGCAAGATTTGGAGGAGAAA